AAAAGCTTTGATCACTAGGCAAAGAGCTTCAATGATTAAGAACATCTGAGCAGAAACCACCGGAGAGGATGAATGTGTTGTCAAATGCTTCCTTGACCAATAATCCGAGCAGAAACCACATGAAAAGATGAATGTATTGTTAAATGTTTTACAAACCAGTGATTATGGTGCTGAACCAATGTTGCAATCATATGGTTTCCATTTATTGATCCAAGATGAAGTTTGTCTTCTTTAACCCCAAGATTAGAAGTGAGATATAATGAAGATTTCTTTCCAAGGAAAGTTGAAATTTTAAACAAGAAACTAATGGGGTCAACTAAGGTTGAACTACAGGTTGTTGTTAAGCATCTCGACATGATATTGGTCCAAGTTGCCTTATTCGAGATCTGATTATATGTGGAAACATGAAAGGAATTGGAATAAATCTTCCTTGTGATATTTCAAGAGTTAAATTAGAACAGACTCTACTCTCTTAATTAATCCCTGCTGAGTCAGATGATTGATTCTCTTTTCAAAGATGAAAGCTTTATGGGATTTCTACACAAGTCCAAGCAAAGAAAATTGGTTTTATCCAAGACAAAATGGGACATCAAGGTCATAGTTCTGACTACAGCAAGAGTTCCACAAATGAAACATTTCTTCTGAGACCTTCATGAAGCAAAGAAGACAGCAAAGATACAAGTTGATCAGATGAGTCTGCAGAAATGCAAGCTTGATAGTATAAGTTGCTACATTGATATCCAGGGGTAACCCTGGCAATAAATGATGAACTAGAGGAAGACCAAGTTCACCACTTTGAAGTCAAATGAAGATTGCATCAACATTCATGCATTCATAAGAATATCATTTACACAATAGACAATGCATTACATTGATACATCTGAGTGCATTCAAACATGGAGTTTTACAGATCTTCGGAAGAAAGAAGATTCATGGTAAGAAATACCTTACAAGAAGAAGGTATTCAAAAAACCGCAATACAGGAATCATACAAACGTCTGAAGAAGTGATAGATGCAATCCACAAGAGAAAAATTATCTTGAGATTAGTGCATGTTACCTAATCAATATGTTATTTTGAAACATAATGAGAAAACGATTTTTATAGTTTATCATTTTATCTTTTCTCAAAATGAAATTGTTGAAAAGTAAGAAAATGATTTTCTTAGTTTTTTTCTTAGTAAACTATTTCTCACATCTGTAAGTCCTTCAGGATGATGTTTCCAAAGCCTTCGGGAGCTTTTTGATGTTTTCAAAGCCTTAGGGTCATCTGTAAGTCCTTCAGTGCATGATGTTTCCAAAAAGCCTTCGGGAGCTTTTTGATGTTTTCAAAGCCTTAGGGTCATCTGTAAGTCCTTCAGTGCATGATGTTTCCAAAAAGCCTTCGGGAGCTTTTTGATGTTTTCAAAGCCTTAGGGTCATCTGTAAGTCCTTCAGTGCATGATGTTTCCAAAAAGCCTTCGGGAGCTTTTTGATGTTTTCAAAGCCTTAGGGTCATCTGTAAGTCCTTCAGTGCATGATGTTTCCAAAAGCCTTCGGGAGCTTTTTGATGTTTTCAAAGCCTTAGGGTCATCTGTAAGTCCTTCAGTGCATGATGTTTCCAAAAAGCCTTCGGGAGCTTTTTGATGTTTTCAAAGCCTTAGGGTCATCTGTAAGTCCTTCAGTGCATGATGTTTCCAAAAGCCTTCGGGAGCTTTTGATGTTTTCAAAGCCTTCGGGTCATCTGTAAGTCCTTCAGTGCATGATGTTTTCAAAGGCCTTCGGGAGCTTTTTGATGTTTTCAAAGCCTTAGGGTCATCTGTAAGTCCTTCAGTGCATGATGTTTCCAAAAGCCTTCGGGATCTTTTGATGTTTTCAAACCCTCGGGGGTCATTCATAAGACCTCTGGGCGGAATGTTTTCAACATTTCCATCCTACTCAAAAGAAGCCAAATGAAAAAATTATTGTTTTTTTTCGTCTTTGCTCTATTTCTTGTTAACACAAGAATGAGCAAAGAGGGGCAGCTGTAAACATTAATTTTTTTTACTATTATTATTTTTGTTTTATTATTATTATTTTTATTAATATTAGTATTATTATTATTATTATTATTATTATTATTTTTGTTTTATTATTATTATTTTTATTAATATTATTATTATTATTATTATTATTAAATAAAAAAATATATATATAATAAAAATATTACAAGGCCCAAAACTGGGGCCCGATTACAATTGGCCCAGCAGAGCCCAAACCCTTTAGGGTTTGTAACATTCAGCTAGGGTTGTCTAAACCCTAGCTTCCAGACGCCGCCGCCGCTCCAAAGTTCCAGTGAGTTTCAGCCGCCTTGCCGACGCTACAGTGCCACGATGACTCCAACAGAAGACTCCAGAAGCTCTGCTGCAACGATAACAGCCGCCCACGTCGAGCTCTATGATGAGTCACCACCATAGCTATGGTGACTCACCAAACTCGACCCTCTATTGTCCGGTCCGACGAGAGCCTCGGTGGTGGCTATAAAAGCCACCACACCTGCAAGAGATCAACAGGGACGGAGAGAACAGAGGACGACAACAAACAAAACAGAAAAAAAAATAGAAAACGAAAAGAGGACAGCCAGCAAACAGGAGACAACAACATCAACAGCAAGCAATCCAACCACCATCAAACACCAAAATAACGAGATAAAAATCGAAAGAAACCTTACCGAGGAAAGCCACATCACCACCGGAGTAACCACGCGCCTCCACGCTCCACAACAAACCTTCGAAAACCGAAGGTATTTTTGTAGATTTGCTCCGATTGAGAGCTTTTTAAGGTAAACAAATACCGGAATCGTCATTAGGACGATCCGATCTACGTTATGGTATAAAGTTTTATTTTCCGGCCACCGGAGGTGGTGGCCGGCGGTGAGGTTGGCGGTGGCTATCGGCGCCGGAATTCCCTCCGGTGAGGGAATTAAGAGAGAAGGAAGAGAGAGCTTCTTCTCTCGTTTTTGAGAGAAGAAGAAGAAGAGAACAATGAGGCTGCTGGCCCTTCGGGCCAGCTATGAAGAGGTATATATACCCCTTCCCGAACGACGTCGTTTTGGGAAGGGGTATATCTGTAATTTCACGCATGGCTAAATTCTTTCCGTAGCCATCCAAATTTTATAATTATTCATTTTAGTCACTAAAATTAATTTCTGAACATTTTAATTCAGTTTTTGAATTTTATTTCATTATGTTTTAGTCCTTACCAGTATTAAATAATATATTTAGGTAAATATCAAATTTAGTCCCTTAATTTTAATATTTAATATTTTAATCCCGAAAGCATGTTTTAATTTATCTTAATTTGATATTTGAATTTAATATAATTTTATTTTAATCACTAAATTAATAAATGAATAAAATAGCATAGTTAGTCATTGTAAATGTTAAATGATTAATTACGAATTACGACATTTAAATATGTTATAATTTAGTCCTTAATTTTAATACTTTCATTTATTTTACAAGTTTTATTACTTTTTAATTTAATCTTATAATTTTAATTTTCTTTATTTTGGTCGCTATTTCATTATTGCCCCTTTAATTTCAATATTTTAATTTATTATTTTGTATCCCTATAATTTTAATAATTTTTATTTTTGTTTCTTATAATCAATTATGATTAAATATTAAATGTTTTGTTTATTGATTAGAGATGTTAGGTGATAATAATTATATTATAAATATATTGGTAATAAAATCAACATGAGAATAGTATGTTATTAAAGATATTCAACTACTCTTGACTTCTTAAATTATTAGTCACGCATGTATAATAAAGTATTCAAAGATGATTGTGTTTAAAATGTATATATTTACTTTATTGAAATATATTTTATTATTAGTCACGTGTTGTAATGTATTCAAAATGGAAATATATTGGTGATTATTAGTCATGTTTAAAATATATATAAATATATATATTTATTTTAATTTATTTAAATTATTTTTTAAGAAATATTATCATATTCTTTTTAATATTTATTTATTTTATATCAAACAAAATAGTTGTCTTAAAGTAACTGGATGTCCATTTTCTGATTTTTTTTATTAATATATAAATATATTTTTATATTATTTTTAGATAAATGTTTTATTAAAATTTATTTATTTTTTAATATTAAGAAAGGAGCTGTCTTAAAGCACCTAGAAGCCCTTTTCTGATATTTCTAAATAAATAAATATCTTGTTTAATAAAATATATATATTAATATATTATCTTAAAATTATATTAATAAATTTAACAGAATTATGAATTAAATATATCTTTGAATTTTTAAATTTCTAATAATAGAGACAATTTATAATTAAAAAGTACCAATTTTGGGCGTTGTAGGGGTGCTAATCCTTCCCTAAACGTAATCGACCACGAATCCCTTTTTATTAATAAAAAGAATGAATTTTTGGTTAAACGCAGATCAGTTTATCTTTTAACTGATGTTTTCTTAAAAACTCTTTTAAAAGATGATTTTTAGGTATTCGACCTACCTGACTCAAAAGGCCGATGGCGACTCCCAAATTATTTTAAAAACTATTTATTCAATCATTTCCCCGCCAAAAATAATATTTCGTGCCCGGACGAAAACCGGTTACGACACTCTCATCACTCAATCCTTCCCCGCCAAAAATAATATTTCCCCGGACGAAAACCGTTACGACACTCTCATCTGGGTTTCATTCAAAACCAACCCTTCATTGAGGCAGCTCCTTGAGTTTTACATGGGGGAAATCCGTAGATTTGCAAATGAACCTGTGTGTATAGGCTATATAGGTAACAATTAGAGTAGATTTTGCATATTAGTCCCATCCAATTAACATTAATTTCAATATAATTCATTGCAAGTTAAGGCAAAGAGGTGCAGTTCTGGTAGAAAATGTGAATGCATCCAAGTATCTGGAACCATATCTCAGGCCTTAGCAGCATAGACTATGAATGCGTACTGTTAAGGCAAAGAGGTGCAGCTCGTGTTCTATATGTACTGAAAACATGGGTTTGTGGGATAATGCAGGAAAAAAAATCAAGGAATATGGCCGAAAGCATTTCCTTGACTCTGAAGATACCAAAGGCATAGGCAAGGAGAAGGAAGCTATACTGAAATTAGCAAAAATGTCGAGAGATGGGTTCGAGAAATTAATGAGAGCGCAAGCTAGACACGTTGTTGTCGCCTTTTTCATCGACTTCTTTTATACTTGCGAGGGGTCAATACCCTGGTATTATTGTCCCGGCCGGATACAATACGGCAGGGCTACCTTTCGGCCTTTGTTTCGGGGGATTAAAGGGTGCCGACCCGACCCTGACAATACGGCAGGGCTACCTTTCGGCCTTTGTTTCGGGGGATTAAAGGGTGCCGACCCGACCCTGGTCGAGATAGCCTATGCCTTCGAGCAAGCTACTAAGATTAGGAAGCCTCCTTCGTTCGAGCACTGAAGTTCATTTATCTTTGCAGAAGCAATAGGGTTATCCGCCCATGTGTAATTTGGTTCAGTGAAGACCATGCTAATGGTTCATGTACCCTACCTCATTATATATAGTGCAAATTATCTCAACAATAAAGCACTTGTTTGTCGGAAAAAGATCGCCGAGTTCATATGTAATTAGTTGCGTCTGGATTTCAATGCAAATATAATATCAAGATTTAAGATAATAGTATAGCTGATAGTATCTGTTTAGAATTCTTTAAGTTTATTTAAATCGCATATACATCTTATAGATTCAACTCCTCAAATTCTGACCTTTTAAAGAGAACACAATTTTCTTTTAACTATTCCACCGCTTAATAGGTATCAAATCTCAAATTCTTAACACAATCATAATTCTTCAATTCTACGAATTGGGATAACATTTAAATTTTATAGATATTATAATATATTAATTTTTTATTAATAGTAATTTATATATAATCACCGGTGTAATTATACAAATCGTCATTATTTTCCTGAAAAATAGAGAATCTTTGGAGTTTTTTTTGGTTTGCTCTCCAGTTCCAAGGGTTAGTCATGATTAATCTGGATCGACCCGAGTCGTATATCTGGCTTTGATGGGTAAGTTTCCCAACGAGGTTTTTTTTGCATACAAAAAGACTCAAATCTGAGACCTTACTTAAGTTATATCAAATTACTTACCATTTGAACCCGTTGAATTCGGATCTTATGCCCATCCCTACTTTAAACACTACAACAAACCTAAAATAAAAGCGCCACAAAAACCTAAAATATCAACAGAATTTTTAAATGGAATAAGAAATTCAACTCTACACCAAATAACGTGAATAATTATTCTAATTAATTATCCAATGATTAATGATCATAAGAAGGCATAAAGTTTCATGGGAAAAGAGATAAACTGGTGCCAATCATTGATAACTTCTGTTCATTCCATAATATATTTTAAAAAAAAGGCATTAATTCACATTATTTTTAAAGGCAATAAAGGAGTTTGGTACATCTTATTAGTATAAAATAGGTTAATTAAACACTAAGGTATGGAATCAGAATTGAAGTTAGCTGAGATTACTACAATGATTGATCCCAAAACACAGCTGTTTCACAGCTCAACAATTTGACAATTTGAATGAGAAATGTTAGGAAGTTCTACGGTGCGGTATCCTTAATATACAATTAAAAAAAGACGTTACTGATTTATTATTATTTAAATAAAAACCGGTAAAAAATTACTTAAACATATTTATTTCTACATAAAACTCAATGTTTTTTAACATTTATGGTAAAATGCCCATCAATAACAAACCGGTAGAAAAAAACAAAACTGATAGTGCTTTACCAAAACCGGTAAAACGTCCAACAATAACAAAACCGATAACGTCTTTTTTTAGCCGTATATTAAGGCTACCGCACGTGATCATTTCCCGAATTGTTGTATCTGAATTGCTTTCAATTGTGCTCACCCAAACAGTGTCACTCTTAACAATAATAATAATAATAATAATAACAGGCTTTGTGTTCAGTTTATTTTAGGTGATATCAATTTTGATTTTAAAATTTCACATATCATTTATATCTGAGTTGGTGTTTGGTTTAGGTTATTTTGTATTCGAGTTATTGGTCGAGTTTCAGGGTCGAGAGGATTTTTTAATGTATTTATATATTATTAATTAAGTTTTGATAAAATCACGAACCAATTGACTTTAGTGATTAAGTGATTATTGTTATCCCTTGATGTCTTCCAGCTTCGAACATCTCATATGCAAGGGGTGAGCGTTCATTGTTGAGAATCTTTGAACAGAAACTACCTCCCGTATTAATTCTATAATTACAAAAATAAATAAATAAATAAATAAGAATTGTATTGGGATTGTTTCAATTTACAAGTAAACAAGTCTGCTTGACAAATGAGGTAAGCCAAGGCCCTTAATGCAAATACATTATTGGCTCTTTTGACTTTCGTATGCCATAGCACATGCACCCATTAGATTATATATATACTCAGCTAGGTTAACAGACACTTTCGGTACTCTACCAACAAAATCAACTACCTTCCGTTTTCCCCATTTCTTAACGCAATTTTCAGTTGCAACTCAAACTCATTTTTTTAATTATTATTATCGGATTCATGATACCGACTTTTTTCAACTCAGTTTATTTTATTCATAATATTATTATTTAAATTTCTGACCTTATTTAAAAGATCTAATGTCTTATCTTATTAAATCAACTAATTATTAATGACTCGAACTTGTTTTTTAATATCGTGTTAGTATGAATCGAGTTAACATGGTTTGTCCTATTTTTTTTTCTCTTTTTCCTTAGCCGCTGCCAGTCTCTTTTTTCTTCACCTTTATGATCGATGTCGGCATCAGCTTTGGTGATGATCGCTGACAGTCGACGCGCTCAATTTTGATCTGTGATTTTTCGGAGGTCTTTCAATAGCTTCATCCCCTTTTGTAGTTTATTTGTCGTTGCAGTCAAATCTGTTCGTATATATTTTTTATCTGGATTTATTTGGTTAGGTTTTTTTTAACTTTTTCTCATATGGTTCTTGTGATCTTAAGTGGCTAGTTTTCTCGTTTAGGAAATATTTTATTATGTGTTTAGTTTACGATTGTGATTGCAAATCCTCATTGTAATTTAGATATTTTTTATTTTTAATAAAATTAGCGATTTTTATATATAAAAAAGCCCCTTTTTTTTAATATTTGATTTGCCAACCTTGCACTGATGTGAAAGTTCCAATGCATTATATAAAGGCCTCAAAGTTTCGGACGATAATCAATACTAAACATAAACTCATCGAACAAGAAAAAAAAATGGAAGCGAAGGCATCACCTAAGAGAGAATTCAGGCAGTTGAGAACTCGAAACCAGAAAGCTTTACGAAGCAGTTTGTCGGAAGTAATCGCAAAGGCTAACAATGGCGGTAGCGCCGTCGTTTCTCATGTCGACGATGGGTTTGAGGGTGAAGATCGTTGTGAGGAAGCAAGATTTGAAGCAGATGCGGGAAAGATTAATGCCGGCTGCCGTGGTAACAAGGTCAGTGTAAATTATCCGCCGTCCCCGTCCGTCGAAGAACGGTTAAACCTTCTTCGAAGAAAACATCTAATGAAAGCCGCGAACGCAGCTATGAAGAGCCGCCGTTGCTGGCGCCCTGAACTTCAAAGCATCCCGGAAGAATGAAGAAGAGATTGGTATATTTGTTTAACATGTAAATACTTTAGGTTTTAAGTTCGAGTCCCATTTAACATAAATTATGTGAAAATTTTACGATTTTATTCTGATTTAATTTTCATCGATTATAGTTAAATTATGTATATTAATGTTTGTATTATAACTTCAATAAAAAAAATTTGACATTTGTGAATATATTTCAATGTTTGTCACACTCTTTCAATGCAAAAATATATTTGATAATATAAATTTTAATATATTAAAAAGCTTAAGGGGCATAATAGTCTTAAACTTTTTCCTTAAAAATTAATTAAATGTTTGTAAGAAATGCATCCAATTAAATCCTTGAACTTGAAAATTATATCAATTTAGTTTTTTGGTTAATGAGCATATATTTAATCATTTTTACTATTTTTATTATATATTAATCATAATGCTGATGTGACAATTAAATATTAAATATTATTATTTTAAATAAGACTTATAATTTAAAAAATATATTAAAGACTACAAATAAAAAATAAAAAGACACTTGAATACTTTCATTGGGCATACTTCGACAAAATAATCATGAAGAAACTTAAATTAGTGTTGTATAATTTTTTTTTTAAATAGAGTAAACTACTAAATGGTCACTTTGTTTCGTTTTAATTAAGATTTGGCCACTAAAGGTTAATGACCGTTAAACCTTTAACGGTTTGTTGACGTGACTCGGTCAATATAGAAAGTCAAAATTATCATTTCCACGTAGATAATATGTGGATTAAGTTTTGGTCACTTTCATTTCATATTTGTATGCTTTTGGCAACTTATATCGTTTTATTAAGTTTTGATCACTTATGTTTTGTTTTATTAAGTTTTGGTCACTTGAACGTTGAATGTCGTTAGTTTGATGACGTGACACGTTAATAAAATGATTTAATTTTATTTTAACCACTACACTTTAAACAATACTAATTATGAGTCTTTTTGTAAATTCAAATTAGTTTAAGACAACATTTCAATTTATTCATTTTTAATAGGTTTTCTTCCCAACCCTATTATTGTCATCTTCTCCCTACTTCTTTAGACATCTCTTCTCCATTTGCCTTCTTTCAAGTACTCATGCTACATTTCAATAATAATGAAAGATTTTTAGCTTCCGATAAAAAATAACAACACCACCAGTTTAGAGAAAAATGAGAGGGTATGCATCTAGAGATAAAATGAAGCTGGGTAATCTAAATTATACAAACTAAAATTCAATTTCCAAAATTGAGATTGAAGAATACCAATCCAACAAGGAACAAGAGATAAATCAATGGATCCAAATAACTCGATAATCAGATATCACTATTCGTGGTGATTTTACCTTGAGAAAGCGCCTCCGGTGAACCATAATCAATGGATCCAAACAACCCGATAACTAGATATGTGAATTCATCCACTTAACTCAATCCAAAATCCATGATCTTCAAAGCCAATTTCGAATCTTGTTTTTGCTCAAGAACAAGCAATTTCCTAACTCTAGATCCCTATGAATCACCGTTAACCCTTGCGGCCTACGCAATTTGTCGCACTACCACCACCTCGTCGGCCTCTGAGTACCTCATTTTCGAGTGACCAAACTTAATGAAACGAAACGTAAGTGACCAAAACTCAATAAAACGATAATATAAGTGACCAAAAGTGTACAAATATGAAAGAAAAGTGATCGAAAATTAATCCATGTATTATCTACGTGGAAATGAATCAATGATGTAATTTTAATTTTCTATATTTACAGTGTCACATCAGCAAACCGTTAAAGGCTTAATGGTCGTTAATC